TTAATATATATATATATATATATATATATATATATATATATAATTTTTTTAAAATTTTTTTTAATGGAGAGAGACTTATTTGGCAAAAATAAATTTTGCTCTCTTGTCTCTCTCCTATATTTTTTTTTGGTCTTTTATTACTACAAACTATTTACTTTTCTTGGAAACTCAAAATACAACAAAACGCCTGTTTTTATCTTTCTTTAAGTCTCCTTTTATAGACCAATTTTTGGTCTATGGTCACCTTTGAAATGTCTATAAAAAAGGAGAAATCATTGAAACATTTCCCCTTAAAAGATGGATCACCTTAAAATAATTATTTTTAAAAAATTCAGTTACCATTTTAATGGTCATTTTGTTTTGTGCTTTTTCTCCTTGTAATTTCTTATCTGCCTTTGTTGTTTGTTAGGAAAAATTGACTTCATTTCTTTCACAACAAAATAACTAGTAGAGTACTAGAATACTATGTTTTTGGTCTGTTATTGATAATACCTGGAAGAAAGGGAAATTATTATAATTTGGATTTGATTTAATATACATACTACGTGGGCAATTTTCATATATTATAGTAGGTAACTTGTTGTATTTTTTGGTTTAGTCTCACTTATTGCAGGTTCCTTTCTTGTTTTGTCCCACATTATTGCGATGAACAGAAGTTTGAAGTGAATAAAATGTTGAGTTAGTTGAATGATTCAACATTTTCAGAAAGTTTTTGCTCATGGATCTGGAAACTCAATTTATAAAGTTCTTTTAGAAGGAAAAAAATGGGCTAACATACACGAAAATCAAAAGGATTGCGTAAATAATCCATAAAAAATGGTTAAACCATACGCAATGCTTCCATGACACATTCCACATGAAAATTTTCAACAGACAAGTCTAGTACGCGATCAAAAACGAGTATCCAGTGCACCAATTCCAATTCTAAAAATGCATCAATCAAAGATAGTAGATCCAAAAATATTCATTCAATACATAAAATCAGCTCCAAAATATTTCACGAAAACATCTGTAGAAATCAACTCTACTAGATTTCGTTTCAGAAATAAGCTCCTACTAAACAAGACGGTAAGTAACCAAAAAAACCATAAATTTTTCAATGGAACCTTGAAGAGAACTCCAAGCCATCCACCTCAAAATCCTAACTTGGTACGCCTCCAGTGCCTGCGCTTCGCGTTGTACCTTAAAGACACAACACACAACTTCTTAGCCCCAAAATTGAAACAGTATACAAAAAAATTACAAAGAGAAGTGATACCCACAGCTCCCTAGCTAACACCAAAATTAACACCGTCAAAAAAAGAACCTAAAATGCAAGAATAAAGTTAATAACACAACTTCGTAGCCCCAGATTAAACACAATATACAAAAAGGAACCAAAAAAATACAAAGAGCACAGTGAATACCCACAACTTCTTATACCCAAATTAACACAATTACCCGCAACCTCTTTAGCCCCGAAATCAACACAATATATAAAAAAGAACCTAAATATGCAAGAGGAAAGAAAATATCCAGAACTTCTTAGCCCCAAAATCCACAAAAAAACGACAAAGATAAAAGTGAATACCCACAACTCTGTAGCCCCAAAATAATCACAACATATAAAAAGAAACCTAAAAATGCAAGTTTTTTTTGGTAATTATAGGGAATTTCATTACCAAGATAATCAAGCACAAAGGAAACAAAAAAGCTAGACAACAGGACAAAGTCTCGGTTCCTAAAGTAAATTCTTTTAACCTTTCTAGTAATTTGCCTTGCAAGGTGGCGGTTGCTGATTCACATGGGCACACTACTCCTCTGCTTCTTTTATTTGTTCAGCTAGCAACGTAGTTAAGTGAAGACAGGACACTAGCTAGCTTAGGCTTCAAACAGCTCAAAAAGTTACCCATCTTGAATTACTAGTCCCATAATAGCAGCTGACATACATTTTCTTCCCTTAGAATACAACTTGATTCCTTCCATGCCATACATTGTATGTGCATCAAGACAGGGCCACAAGACTGATAGTACAGCTTTGCTCTATTGATTTTAAAATAAGTTTCCATCCTAGCACATTCCCCTCACCAGTTTCAACTAGGTCTAGTAATATACCTTGGCAATTCAACAATTTGGAAAAAACAGGTGTCCAGTAGTTTAATCAGCTCATTAACATAGAGGGCAGAAAGATCCTACATCCACTCCCCCATTTGGCAATATGTCTATAGTGTAAAGACACAGTATACACAACTTCTTAGGCCCAAAATTAACACGAAACACAAACAGGACCTAATAAAGCAAGAGAAAGGTTTTTTTTAATAATGAACCAACCTATGACCAAAGAAATATGAGTTTGTCACTCCTTTTCACAGGATTTTATTACCAAACAAGATACTCAAGCACAAAGGGGAAAAACTAGACAACTAGACATAGTCTCAGTTCCAACATAGGCACCCCTACTCCACTACTTCTTTTGCATGTTTAGCTAGGATAGTAGACAAGTAAAAAAGGATAGTAGCTAACTTAGGCTCCGACAAGCTCAAAAGCACACACCTTGGATCACTAGTTTCATAATTGCAGCCAAAGCTCCAAGGGTCATACGACAGATAATAGAGCTTGTTCTATTGGTTTTATTTATAATGAGTTCCATCCTAGCATATTCCTTTGGCCATTCCAACTAAGTCTTTCTATACATTGCCAGTTCAACACCTTATGCCAAATATGATCTGCTAAAGGTACTACATCTACTCCCCAGTTGAGAATTCAGTTTTTTTAGTGTGAAGATACATTACACACTTCTTAGTCCCAAATTAACCACAATACATAACAAACGAACCAACAATATAAAAAGAGAACCACAACTACTTATCCCCAAAATTAACACAATAAACAAAAAAGTAACCCAAAATTACAAAGAGAAAAGTGAAATACCTGATGGTGTTGTCGGTCCTCATGCGGATCCAGTAAGGAATAGGCCTGTTCTGCCTCTGCTTCTTCGCCAGCTTCTTCTTGATCATGAAAGACTTGTGGGACGGCTACACACACCAAAAAAAGGGTAAATTCAACATAAACTGTGAGGTACTGTATTCGTAATGAGGTTAGTAGGGAAAGGAATCTTACCATTTTCACGATCGGCGGCGACTTCCTCCTTGGAGATGACTGCTGCTGGTGAAGTTTAGAATTTGAGGATTTATAGAAACCCTAGTTTGCGGTTTTTTATAATGGGTTTCTCGGAGGTGTAATGGGCAAAAATGAAGCCCAATTAGAAAAAAGAGTTTGGGTCAGATATGTAAAGCCCAATAATGATGTTTATGAGAAGGCTCATAGCCCATTTTGGAGTTCCTTTTTTTTAAAAAATTATAATTACACACCATTTATCTAATTAATCTCGAGATAAAATGCAAAATCAAAACAAGAAAATTTGATACTTATTTTCTGCCTTTGTAGTTTGGTTCATCATCCTCAACTTCAACATCTCCTACTAATACTTTTGTACAACTTATCTCAATAACTCAATAATCTTTATGTAATTTCACACACATTTTTAAACTCACGAAATTACATTTTAAATTTATAATCACCTCAAATTAAATATATTGCACGATTCTATAAAAAAATTAAGATAATCAAAAATGTAAAAGGATACTCTCATACTTTATTTTTTTTAAAAAAATAATAATTTAAATCATAATTTTTATTTTTCACACTTCATAATTTATACTTTTTGCTTTTTTGGTTATCCTAGTTGGCAGTCCCTACCCCCAACCCCCTCCTCCTACCTACCCCCACCCGCACTCTATACGTTATATATTGAACATTCTCTGGACGCCAAAATCCTCTCAAACCCCTCTCTGCTGAGCTTTCAAAATTGCACCAAAATGCCTCGAGCATCAAAGAGAAAATCTGACACCCCCAAATCTACTTCTGTCAAATCTGCTCGCTCGGAGTCTATCACAACTGGTAAATTCTTGTTTTATTTTGGCCCTTTGTGATGTATCCTATCTATGTGATTTAGTTGTTGGTATTGTTCATTTGAACTTTTTTGATTCTTTTTTTTGGGGGGGTTTGTTTCTTAGTGATGAGGGGTATTTTAAAGTTCAAATTTTGTTTAATGAGTTGGGGCTAATCTAGATTTTGGAGCCTTGAAATGAGATTTGGGGATTTGGGTATCAAGAATAAGAAAAAAATTACTTTTTTGCACTTAAAGGGTGTGGCTTAACTGGTAATGAAGAGGGTAAGAGATGCGCGCAAGCTAGGTTCGATGCCACTTTTGTTATTAAAAAAAATAATTTAAGTGTTTTTGGGTTGTTGCATTGATATCAAGTGGCTGTTTTTCTATATTGGAAAACAAAATGAGTGGGTTGGATGTAGAGGAGGCACGCAAGGGCGTGGTCTAGTGGTCAATGAAGTGGGTGAGAACTGTGGGGTTTTGAGGTTCAAATTTCAGCAGAGACAAAAACCATTTCTTTACATCTGTCGTAGGCTTTGGTGGATAGAGTTATCTAGTATATGTATTGCATTTAAAATCAAGTGGTCTGGAATAAAATGGGCCTGAATGGATATAAAGGATTGATAGAGCTGAGTTTGGAATTTGAGTCTTAGTTGAATAATTGATCTATGTTAAGGGAGGTGTTGGATGCTTATGCCGATCTTAGATAAGTATGTGCCTCACCATGTATACTGTGATTGGAATTTCTAAAGGAAGTATAAGATTCAACCTGCATTGTTTTTCTTAATCCCTTGTTTGGATACATCTCGAAATTAGGTAAATTAAAATGTTCGAAGACACAATGCAGATAAATACTCTTTTAATCGAGTTTTTGTAGGCTTGTTTGAGATAAAATTTGTAGCTTTCTCTCTAGCTCTGCCCATGTCCTAAATCTATATTTGAATAGATATATTTATCACGCTTGAACTTCAGTAGTCCCAAATTGTTTCTGTTTTGGATGTTCCACCATATAAATGTTGTCTATCTTAATTTGCAAGTTCATCTTTTTATGAAATTTTGTTAACAATGTTGAAGACCAAGCGATGTGGTGTTTTGACTTTAAATAATGTTTCTTTTTTCATGAAATATATTTTTTCTAGCTGGATGTTTGCAATTTTCTATTTCTTTTTATTTTCTCCTCTTTATGGTCAACGTGTTTCAGTTATATTTACTTTGCCTTCACCTATAGTATCCTGAAAGATTCGTTGTTCTATTCAGCTTCAAGCAAGACTACGAAGTTTGGATTGTCCGTTGATAATCTTTTTCAGAAGTATGCCAATAAGCTGCTAGGCATGATCGAGTGAGTTCCTTTTTTCAATAGTTAATCTATTGTTCCTATGTTTCTTTTCATGAACTTTGTGATTAAATGGTATGTATAGAGCAACTCTACAAGTTATTTTTCCAAGTTTTTCCACTTTACCAAACTAAGTTGCATATATGCTGATTGTTTTGATCCATATTTACCTAGCTGAACAGTGGATATATGATCGTCTCCAGGGTCATACACATGGTTAACATAGTCTTCCTTCTGTGCATATATCTTCTGTAGCTACAGGAGTTGTTTGTTTCTGCTGCAGTTCTGCTACTGCAAAAGTTGAGTGAATGTCAATGTTCATATGTTTCATGTGAATGGGTTGTTAACTAGCATAGAATTTACTCATATAAAACAAATACTAACATTAAACTATGATGGAAGTCACTGTGTGTTTTACTATTTGTTGCTCTGATTGGATCATATCACTGAGGGAAATTCTATGAGTAGGAAACGGTTTGGTGGTTTTAATTCCTTAATACTTTGAATTTTTCAACGGTTTCTACCAAGTTGCTATACCATTTATTTCCATGCTAAAGGTCATTGCTATCAATACAAATGCCTAAAAGAACTGATTTGATGGAAGTGATAGCTGAAAATTATGTCATTCTGAGGATTTTATCTGGCAGTATCTTGTTTTGATTCGTAATTTTGTGAAACCAAGCTTGCTTAAAATAGATGTGCTTGATTAGCAATATTAATATGGTCTACTCGCATCAAGTAGTTGTTGGTCCTGTCAACTAGGCATATTAGCTTACTGTAAAACTTTATAGTTCCTTTGAATATCAGACTTACCTCTTATTATTTTCTTCTTTTAGCACAAGTACATTCTGATAAATATCTAGTTTTAGAATATCTCAAAGTTTAATAACACGCTGTAAACAATGCCGACCTAAAGAGAAAAGGTTTCAATAAAACTACAGTTATCCATCAAGTAAGTCTTTCCTTCTATTGAAATGTCAGTATAATTTTTTAGAGTTCTAATTCATTTATCCTAACATTGAACTGAAATGTGATAACTTTATGAACGAAGCTTTTAACGATTGATGGAGTTAAGGTATCAGAGGGAGATTTTGTCATTACTATCATTCTATTAGTGTTTGAAAGTAAAGGATTTTGGAATCTTTGTTAATCTTCTGTTTGTTTTTGTGTGCACAGTCCAGAGGGGATTGAGGCACTTTGCTCAGATCTTGGAGTAGACTACACAAATGTCAAAATTTTGATGCTCGCTTGGTAAGCCATTTGCTGTCAATATGTGTCTATGTGATCAATAATTTATTTTAAGGAAATGTTGTGTCTCTTAATCTATATAACTCACTATTCACATGGATCAGGAAATTGAAAGCTGAAAAGCAGGGATATTTTACTCAGGTAAGATACTGCTATTTATTTGTTCAGCTTCCTCTTGAGTATAAACTAGGGGTTGCCAAATTAACCCATAAGAACATGATCTGCACAACCTGTTCAAGTTTGGTCTGATCATTGACACCGTCATTTATTAGCTCAACCTATTTCAAGCCATCTGAAAAATGAGCTTGATATGTACTCCAAATTGACATAAAAATCTCGCTAAAATATTTTCAAAAAGATAATTCTTTATTTGATATGTTATATATAGTCATAATAAAGGAGAAAATAGTGTTATTAGGCACTTAAAAAGTTATAAAAGAACAAAAATGAAACTAGAACATACTAAGAGTTGGGCAGCTTGGGATATGACCCGGGTTTTAGCCCATTTTTAGCACAAGTAACTTGTGGGCGGGTAATCCAGCCCAATCCACCCATTTTGACACCCCTAGTATAAGACATTTCAATGTGTTCTCTTTTGTGATGTATTCATTAGGATGATGTACTGTTATAATTGTCTGGTGGTTGATCCTTTTCTGTTTGTCAGTGTTTTGCTTTGTTCTTTTTGTTGATACAACTACATTCTCATTCGAGTTGACTTTAGCATTTGCTCTTGGATCAATATAGTGCATTTTTCCTCTGTGACGGAAAATCTTTTCTAATTGTCAGGATGAATGGAGAAAAGGTTTAAAAGATCTCCAGGTTGATACGATTAACAAATTGAAAAAAGCCCTGCCAAAATTGGAAGCAGAGGTATGTTGTTGTCAGCTCTTTGGTTAACTTAAGTGGGATAATTTTGCAAGATCTAATGCTCATGTAGCTGACCTTGGATCATTTACATATTCAGGTTATGATGCCTGAAAATTTTGAGGATTTTTATTCCTACGCCTTCCGTTACTGCCTTACTGGTAAGCTTCTCTTTAATAAACAAATATGTAGCCTATTAGGTTTCATATTTTTTTGGATGTTTATGTCGCATTAATCTCTATTAAGCTAGAACATTTACTAATATGTGCCTGGTTTGTCTTTCTCAGAGGATAAGCAGAAGTGTGTGGACATCGAGAGCATTTGTCTACTGATTGATCTTGTTCTGGGGCCCCAATTTCGTGCTCAGGTTGACTCATTTAGTGAGTTTCTCAAGGTAGGTACTCACTTACATGTGAATATCTTTTGGTATCACATATGCATATTTTATGATATAATTGCCCGAAGGGCGCTAGTGTTTAGGCTTATAAACAGTTAGGAAAATTAAGTTATAACAATGATGTTAGTTTTTAATTTTTCATATCTTATTTAATTTGACACCGCTGATTCTCTGTCTTTTCCTTCATACTAGAATCAGACTGATTATAAGGTGATCAACGTGGATCAATGGATGAATTTTCTTCGGTTTTGTCAAGAGGTAAACTATTTACGTTATATAATTAATTCTACCTTAGAAGGAAATATGGTTCGTGAAGCTCATATAGCCGACACCGGCTTAAAATATGTTCCATGTCTGCCTCTCTTTTCCTATTTTCGCTTTTTTTGGATTCTCCTTGCCATTTTCTAGTTTGCATTTTTTATTTGGCTGTCAATGACCTAAGCACTATATAAACACCAATCTCAAACTATGTAATTCAGGGTGATATGATTAGACGAATGGAACCAAATTGAAACTTATGCCAAACATTGAGGACCATACAAATAATTTTATCCTATATTGCCCACTTCTCATCTACCGAGTATTATGCAAATGCTAATCTAGTAGAACAAAAGACTTCACTTTACCTTTCTGGATCCTGCTTCTTTTGTTTCTATCAACTAATTTTCGTACTATGATCAGACACATACAGGAGCACCAATAATGGTACCTTTTGGTAAAGGGGGTTCAATTGAATCCCCTTAGCCGAAAAATTGTGCTGTGGAGAAAGGGTAGAAATAATAATTTTCTTGTATCGGATCTCCTTGACATAGGTCTAATAGCTGGCCATTCTTTTGTCTTTTTGAAGGTTAGCTTTCCAGACCTTGAAAACTATGATCTCGACCAAGCATGGCCTGTGATTTTGGATAATTTTGTTGAGTGGATGAGAGAAAAACAAAAGTGATCTGCGCTGTTGAGTTCTTGTAAATGCTAACGAAAAGAATTTGAAGTGTGTGCACGGGACTTTTGCTTGCATGATTCATAACAGCTGCATCATTCAGCGGGAGGCTGGTTTTCTTTCTGCTACAGAACTACAAGCCTGAGGAGGATTCAACACATTTCTGTCGAAGGGGATATACTAAAATTTCTTCCTTGAAGAACGCTTGTAGGAACCTTTTTAATTTTTCGTCTTAGTTACAAACGAAATGTAGCTGCTATTTTTTCTCTGTCCAACTTCTTGATTTTGGAACTTCACTAGTAACATAGTGATATGGATCATTTGATCCTTATATGGTAGTCATACATGTGAATGGAGGTTAAAAAAAACAATATGTTGAAGTGAAATTGAATGTGGTTTATTTGTTACACTTTGCTTTTGAGACAAAATCTCTCAATATTTCTAATTCTGCACGTATAGACTTGTTAGTTGTTACTTGCGCTGAGGGTCTTCCAAGTAAAGTGATTATATACCTGTATTTCCCATGAAAAATAGCATAAGAAGAAACACAACTTTACACAAAGAGAAAGAGGTTGCCATTTTTCTTTTTGGTTATGATTTCTTCAAAAATGTAATTTTGATAATGAAAATGATGAAGCACCATGCTTATCTTATATAGTATTAAGAAATAATTAACTTACTATATTTTTAATGAGATTATGTTTAATTAGTTGGATAGTAAATCTCTTTATGTTCAAGGACTTTCCATCCCTCTAATTATGATCTAGATATTGTTACTATTTAATTTAATTTCTTTCAAATTTTCTTTTTTTTGAGATTCTAATTTTTTATTTTATTTTTTAAAAAATAACATAATATACAAATTTGAACACATCCTCCGTAAACTATTATCAACAAGTCTAAATAATATCACTTTAATTTTTTCATGAGACAAGTCTCATCGTACTAGAATATTTCAACAATCACTTTCTTGATCATTTCTAAAAAATCTTTAAAAGAACAACTTGATTTGAGTTTATTTTTCACTAAAAGAAATCAAATCAATTAAGTCATATTTTTCAGATGTCGGAATCAAGGCAAATCAATTAAGTCATATTTTCAGATGTTGAAACAAACTCAAATCAATCAATTCGATTTTTCAAATATTATTGGAACCAAAATTAAATCAATGAAGTTGATTTTTTTTTTCGCTTTGATTTTTTTATTATTATGAAGTATATGATAATTAAAATAAACACATTTATATTCCAACACTATTAAATCAATTATTCTTTAAGAAAAAAGGAAATATATTTCATCAAGTTATATATATGTAGCAGAATTCGTGATGACATTTAAACTAAACAATGACGATTAATTAGAGAAATACTAATTATTTTTAAATATGAAATAAACTGTTAGCATTATCAAAATAAAAAATTACAAAATCAAACTAGAAAGTAAAAGCAAAAGATTCGATATTACTAAAAAACAAACACCTAAATTACGAACCAAGAGTGCAAACCTATTATATTCCTTAATTATTACATATAATAGCCACATTGTTGGTCTAACAATGTTTTGTTTACTAAAATTGGAGAAATTAATATACTTAACTATGATAAAGCTGGCCTAGTAAGATCCAAAATCAAATTAGAATAATTAAATTTTGTGTGACATAGATATATAGATATGTCGATAAAATTAGAGGTTTTAACAATATTGTTACATCGATGTAATTATTATAACAAAAACATGACAAACAAATATTGTAGTTACCAAAGATAGCACATTGGCACTTTCTGTTTTTATTTTCTCATCTAGTTTTATTATATATAGTTTATATTATGTTATTGTTGGTGAAGAAATAGTGACTAACAAAATATGGTTGCACTACAAATGTTGTCAACTTTTTTGGTTGTTGTTGTTGCTAATTTTCATGTGTGTTTTGCATCAACTCCTATTTCTGTGTCTCCTTCACCTTTGTCTGGTACAATGCCACCCTTAATCAAGCCTCTACTCCCGTCGCGCTTTGCACCATCTGAGATGCCTCCATTTCCAGGCGCTAGACCACCTTCTGTTCCAGGCTCGTCTAGTTCACCGTCCTTACCTCTAATTCCAGGCTTACCTATACCATCACTGCCTCCATTTCCAAGCACTAGTCCATCGTCCCTGCCTTCAGTTCCAGGCTTACCTATACCATTTCCAGGATCACCTGCTTCACCATCCTCGCCTCTAATTTCAGGCTTACCTATACCATTAGTGCCTTCATTTCCAGGATCACCGTCCTCACCTCTAATTCCAGGCTTGCCTATACCATTAGTGCCTTCATTTCCAGGATCACCTAGTTCACCATCCTCGCCTCTAATTCCAGGCTTACCTATACCATTAGTGCCTTCATTTCCGGGATCACCTAGTTCACCATCCCCGCCTCTAATTCCAGGCTTACCTATACCATTAGTGCCTTCATTTCCAGGATCACCGTGCTCACCTCTAATTCCAGGCTTGCCTATACCATCACCGCCTCCATTTCCAAGCGCTAGTCCATCATCCCCGCCTCTAATTCCGGGATCGCATACTTCACGGTCCTCGCCTCTAATTCCAGGCTTTCCTATACCATCAATACCTCCATTCCCAAGTACTAGTCCAACATCCCCACCTCTAGTTCCAGGCTTACCTATACCATTCGTGCCTTCATTTCCAGGCTCGCCTAGTTCACCGTCCTCACCACTAATTCCGGGTTTGCCTATACCATCACTACCTCCATTTCCAAGCACTAGTCCATCGTCTCCGCCTCTAGTTCCAGGATTCCCTATACCAATTGTGCCTTCATTTCCAGGATCTCCTAGTTCACCGTCCTCACCTCTAATTCCGGGCTTGCCTATACCATCACTTCCTCCATTTCCAAGCACTAGTCCGTCATCCCCACCTCTAGTTCCGGGCTTCCCTACACCACCTGAGCCTGCATTTCCAGGATTACCTAGTTCACCATCCTCACCTCTAATTCCAAGCTTGCCTATACCGTTATTGCCTCAATTTCCAAGCACTAGTCCACCATTACCACCTTCCAATCCGATCTTCCTTGTACCATCTATGCCTCCATTTCCAGCCATCAGTCCACCGTACATACCTGTAACACCCCCCTCTGTTTCTGTTCCCTATTTCAGTCCACCCTCACCATCCAAGCCTTTATTTCCCATCTTTAGTCCACCAATGATGCCTCCAACTCCAGCTCCAGCTCCTTTTCCACTATCTATGCCTCCAATCCCTGCCTCAATACCATATCCCGATACACCTGCTCCTGCTCCTGGACCAGCGCCTCCGCTTTCTGGCATCAAAGGTGCATATTGGCCTTCGTGGGTAGCTGAAAAAGCTACTCCATCAAGCATCCCTACTGCTTATTTCACCCACATTTTCTATGCGTTTGTTGTGCCTGATAATACATCATTCCAATTGCTCATAAGCCAAGTTGACGAGCAAACAATGATAAACTTCACATCCGCCATCCATTCCCATAGCCCTGCAACAAAGGCCATGCTATCGATAGGAGGAGATACAGGTTCTCCAGTACTCCCTAGTATGATGAGTTGCCAAGATAATCGTGCTGCATTCATCAAATCAACTATCAAAGTATCCAGAAATTACGGCTTTGATGGCCTTGATCTTGATTGGGAATTCCCTATCAAATCAGAAGACATGCTCAATCTAGCATTGCTCCTCAAAGAATGGCGCCTCGCCATCAACATAGAGTCACTAGCTTCCTCTAAGCCTGCACTAATCTTGTCTGCTGCTGTTTACTTCTCTCCAAACCTTCTCTTATCGGGGATAACTTATCCCACAGAAGTTCTAAGCAACTATCTTGATTTCTTGAGCCCTATGTGCTATAACTACCAAGGTTCTTGGGACACTTCAGCAACTGGTGCTCCAGCCTTGTTGTATGATAAGTCTAGCAATATTAGCACGAGCTACGGAATTTCAGCCTGGAAACAAAATGGGGTTCCTTCAACAAAGTTAGTCATGGGAATTCCCTTATATGGAAATACATGGGAATTGAAGGATCCAAATGATCACGGAATCGGAGCTCCTGCAGTAGGAGTTGGTCCTGGAAGTCACGGAGAAATGTCGTATGATGATATAGTAACATTCAATTCAGAAAACAATGCATCTATAGTATACAATAATGAAACAGTTTCAACATATTCATATTCTGGAACAAATTGGATTGGATATGACGATACGAACTCCATCAGAGCCAAGATCAAGTATGCTAAGGCTCAGGGTCTTGGTGGTTACTTTTTTTGGGCACTTGGCTCTGACAGCAACTGGACTCTTTCAAGAACAGGTAAACTAACAAAATGGTAACTAACCAGTTATATACAGTGTATATATATAACTTAAATCAGTAGACATATGTCGCGTTATTTTTTTGCATAATCAGCATACTGTTGAAAACTTAACAATTGATCATAATGATTTCAGCTTCTATGGCATGGGATCATGATCAAAGCTGAGGTGCAGCCACACGGTCTATACTCATTGATCAATGGATCATTTGATTGAGTTTATTTGATATACTTTCTCCATTTCTATTTACACTTGACACTCGAATCAGTACTAAGACGATTTAAGATTTATATTTGATACATTTCTTGTTGTTCTTTTTGGGAAATTTTAAGAAAATTGGAAGTTGAGAATGAAATATTGTAACAACAATTGAAATAGACAAGTACAAGTTTCTAAGTTAAAAGTTTGTATTCTCTCTTACACTTGAAATAAACGTTATTAGCTGAAAAGTACATATAACTAAATGATACAACATATATATATATATATATATATAGTGCATAAATAAAAAGAAGATGAACTATTCAGCTTCAATACACTTCCACAAACAAAATATATATAAGTTCAAAGGAAGAGTCATTCCCCCCCCCCCCCCCCCCCGCTTCATCTCTTAGGAAATAATCCATGATTGCTTAGCTACACAATAAGAAAAAGAACAAAGTGAGTATCCGTAAAAAGTTGTGATTTAGCAACAATCAATATGCTACATCTTCTTTTAGCAAGATTTAACTTATATACTGCAACACCAATTTTAGTCATGTTATAACTAATCTCACTTATTAAGAAAATTCTTGACACTGTCAGTGTATACGAGTTGAATATTCGTAAAATAACATGTAAAGCAAGTGAGTTAATTACCTGTTGTTGAGATTTTCCAATCTTTATCACCAGCAACAGCCCAAAAGAAGTAGCCTCTAAGTCTTTGTGATTGAGCATAGTGTAACTTCATTGCAACAGAGTTAGTGTCATCAAAGCCAATCCAAGAAGTTCCAGCCACAGAATAAGCAGAAACAGTAGCAGAATCATATACAACTTTAGCATTGTTTTCCTCATTGAATTTCTCAATTTCCCTATAAGTTAATGTCCCTTCATCACCAGGACCAACACCAACTGCTGGTGCACCAATTCCATCAACATTTGGATCTTTCAATTTCCATGTCCTACCATAAAGTGGCAATCCCATTATCAATTTACTTCTTAAGGCCCCTGCTTTGATCCAAGTACTTAGTCCATAACTTGTACTAACATTACTTTTCGTGTCGAATAATGCTGCTTGTGCACCAGTTGCAGATGTATCCCATGATCCACGATAATCGTAGAACATTAAGTTGATCCAATCCAAGTTCTTGTTAATTGAAGGTACAGGATATGATCTAAACTCACCCCATAAGAAGAAGTCAACAGAGAAGTAAACAGCTGCTGTGATCAAAAGTTGTGGCCTTTTTGTAGCCAAAGATTCTTTCTTAACCTCAACCCTCCATTCATTTAATAAAATCGCGAAATTCTCCATGTCCTTTTTGTTCTGAGGGAATTCCCAGTCAAGATCAAATCCATCAAATTTATATTTTCTAGCTACCTCTATGCTAGATTTTATAAATGACAAACGAGAGACAGATGTTGATGCCATACGCGAGAACCTAGCTGGTCCTTCACCTCCTCCCCCAACCGAAAAGAGTGTCTTGACAGACGATCGAAGGGTGGAGGTGAAGTTGAAGAGCAGTTTGGATGTTTCATCGTCAATATCGAATTTAAATGTTGTGTTGTTTGGTACAAGAAATGCATAGTAGATATGAGTGAACAAAGATGTGTCTATGGATGATGGTGGGAAAGTTGAAAATGCCCATGAAGGGTAATATGCACCTTTGACACCTTTACAATGAGGATTTGCCATCACACCAGAACAAAGGGCAAGAAAAAACACAATACAACATGACAAAATATTAGCCATTTTTGTTGATACAAGATCATATGTTTGTTGCTTTAGTTTCTTCTCTATTTATAGGACAAATGGAGCCTTCATAAAAAGTCTAAATAAGATCATAATTGGCTGTTTCTATTTGTCCACAAGACATGAAAAATATGACTTGGTATGTGTGGATGGAGTTGAAGATTACCTAAAGGAATTGGTATTAAAAAGTTGATATTTTTGACTGGTTAGTTATTATAGTATTGTCCCACTTCTTAATGGAGTTAATGCCTTTTGACTCTTGCTGACTCTTATATTGAAGTCTGATTAAATTTTAGTGTTGGGAGCATTGATCGAGCCACTTTAGGGGAAGGAGGAACCGGTCCCCATGGTCGCCTTCGTTCGTAAGGTAAAAACGAATAGACATTTTTGTCTTGGCCCAGGTGACGCACATGACCGGTTAAGAAAGTTCTTATTTTTTGATTTCGCTTTCGCTACGGCTACAGCTAAGGTGGTGAGGAAACTTACTTCCGAGTGAGCAACTTTCACCTCGGTAATTACCTAACGAGAGAGAGCCGATGCAAAAGTAGTCCTTTACGCGAGGAAACGCCAGACAGTTGAAGGTAAAATGCTCTCTAACAAAAGACGACTCCATTTTAAGCAGTTTAACCCTTAATTAAATCTTGGTTCGTACCGAGACGTTCGCATTTTATATCAATGACTCCATATCTAAATCTCGAACTTTAAACATTTGATTAAGAATGAAGGAGTAATTACCAAAATACCTTCTGACTAATTCAAACTCTAGAAGATCATTATTTGATTTTAATATAAGTCAAAAGAAGAAAAGTTGTTATAAGATTTCCCTTAGGATAATTGAATTTTGACAAGCACCTAATACAGTTGTCCACTCGAGACGTAATTATTAGCTATTCATATGGTTGCAAATATAAGGATATAAACTATACTTGTTATCGTAGGTCAACTTAATTTCTCGAAAAATTATATTACACATTTGAATCGAAAATGAATGAGTAATGGATCGAGGAGATAGGCATTAGCCCCTCTCTTGAATTGTGTGTTTTTCATCATTCGACATACTTCATCTTTATTGACTCGGTAACCCTCCATCCAATCCACTACCACCCCACTACCCTACCCTTCGCTAACATCTTTTCGTAGGTTTGTCTAAATTATATATACAAATACTTTAAGATAATATTTTTTTGTTTACATTTAAAAAAAAAAACAAATATTTTCAAATAAAATCACACCCTTACAAGCTTAAGTTTATATAGTGGAATATATTGAGATCTACCTTGATTCTTAAGTAGCTTTCTTCACTTTGCTATCTTTATTTAATGAAAAATGATGAATGGTTTATATTAAAAAATATATATTTTTTGGATCTTACGCCATCACCTTCAACCCAACTTAATCATAGGAATTATAAAATAAATTAGTTTTATAGACTAATGAGGTAGTTTTCTATTATATCACCTAAAAATAATTACTATAAAAATAGTTTTTACAAATGAGATTAAGTAAACAAACTAATGTAATGCATTATAGTGTACAAATTCTTTACGTTGCTATTAGGGGTGAACATAGACTTTCGTTAATAATTTCACTTTAAACTTAGTGACAATAATTTAAACCTTAGTTAATTTAATATATAACAATTTTCAATTTCGGAACTAAAATCTCAAACACATACTCTTTAAATTGTAAATTCATCTCTAATTATTACTACGCGTATAAGTTAAATTCTTTTAAAATTGTAATGTAATTGACCTTTCTCACCTCAATGCAATATGCCCCATGAACTAAATGGACAGATAAAGAAAAAAACTAAAAGGACATAATTTAATGGATATGGTCCACATGACCACCAAAGTTTTCATCAATGGCTTGGTCATAGGTTGAACATTTTAGATATAAAATATCATTGAAAATTTAAAATCTTAGAATTTAGAACATTTTAGTTTTTTTTTTTTAATAATATTGTTGACTTGGTCTAATTATTTTGTACCAAGGATTAAGGTGTCATTTGACATTGGATACAGTGGCAAAGATAGATTTTTTTTTTACTAAAAAATATCAAGATAAATTTCACGAAGAGACTAAAGAGTATGAATATGTAATCTTAATGTATATACATAAAAAGAATATTTTAACTTAGTTACACAAAATAATTTTCTGATAAGGAAGTGTCGATTGACAATCTACATGTAGCTCCGTCACTAATAAAAAAAAATTAATAATGCAGAATTTAATTTAAACATACTCGAAAAAATTATAAGATATAGAAAATTGTTAGTTGAAAATCCCATAAAATACTAATGCAAATCTTATTATCGTGATGTTGAGTCAATCTCGCCATAAAATGATGAAGCCGCCCTTATTATATAATGCCTTCTATTATTTAAAATATAAGGCCTTAATGGCACTTTTATTATTTATTTTTTTATATATATATTATATAAAAGTATGGTTGTGAAGAGATATACAAATTAAAAATTATAACACTCACATAACAAAAAAATAGGGAAGTAGTCAACTTATTAAGGAAAAATAATGGAGTAATATTTGGTCAAAAGTATCGCTAGGAAAAATGTGAAATAACATATAGAACTCTTAACATAATGTCCAAAAGTTTGTAAGTTTGTGTAGTTTGAAATTCAAAACATGATTTATTGAGTTTAAATTTTTAAATTATAATTTTTTATATAATTAGGAGCGAAATTAATAATGATAATTATTAAAATAAACATTAGTAGTGAAATAGATACATATACATCACAACGTAATCAAATTAAATGTTCTTTAACATTTGAATTTCTATTGTTCATAATTTTATATTGTATATGTGGACGCATGAATAAAATAAAAGAGGTTCACTTATTAGTTAGCATTTTATAAGGTTTAAAATGTATAATACTTAAAACTTTTTAAAACAGAACAAAAAGAGAAAATCAAATTGATTTTCGAAATACATTTTTTGATATTTTTTTAATATCTTAGACATGACAATTATTAAATTGTCTCTAATAAATTAATTTTAAGTGATTAACTTTGTCTGTCAATAAATTATATTTTGACTCAACTACTAGTATTGTTTTTCTGCTTGTGTATATTCTACTTACCTTAATATTAATTTGATGAATTTGTAACATTCTTGACAACTATTAGTGCAATTGTCATTAAGAATAAGTATTATTATGATTATGATAATAAGATTAATAAGGACCTCTCAGCAAACAGTTTGGTTATTTATTCTTGGATGTATCCTTTTTGTTCAAGTTCTATTGGCACATCCATCTTAAAGTCAATTTCCATCTTAATTATTAAATTTCTTTTAGAGTATTATACATGATATTTCTGACGAATCTTATATAGAAATAAAAAAGAAAAGTAAACTTTTTCATAATATATAACATAAGTTTGCCTGATATATATACTTTTTGAATTGATGAAGGCATAGTCCACGAAACACGGATGCTTTAGATATATTCAACATCGAAATGAAAGACGAACGTAAAAAGCTTTATTTATAAGGCATGATATAAGTTAACATGATACATGTTATAATTGAGCTCTATGGCGACTGTATAGCTCAAGGGACAAATTCACACGGCACGTAGGATCAAAGTGGACAATATGTATTATGAACTTGAATTGTGACACCTTATATACACAAATAATATAAATATTTTTATATTATGAAATCGATCTTATTAATTGAATTAATAATGAGTTATATATTGCGATTAAGTCATTAGCATCTATGGTCCACACTATTTGTGAAGAAAAGTTAAAAATATTTATTAAAATAGTCAACTAGAAATTTTATCTAGTAGTCAAATACATTTTCTTGGGAAGTTTTATCAGATTTAGAAAAAGACAACATAAAAATACTAATCAAATAGGAATTTTGCAATTTTTTTTGGTTATTTTACTCTTTATTTTTCTCGTGGACTCTCTTTATAGGAAAAATTAATTGACATAGCAATTTCAACCCTCTTATTAATTTTTTTTAGAGTGATATTTTTTTTAAAACGAAATATACTGATATTCATAAATAGCTCTATTTATGAAAGTAGTTTTAAAACCAATGAAAAATGGTTTTATTTTTCTTTTATCATCAATTTATTCAAATAGTATAGGGTAGTGGAACTATGTGTCAATAAACTAATTAATGGCAAAAAAAGGACATAATTCTGAGTCAGCTCTATTTACAAGATAAGGTTATTAATCATATACATTACTTCTTCCGTTTTCATAATAGTAAGTATATAAATTTAATATTTTTATAAAATAAATTATTATAAATTATAATTTTTTATAGTAAAAAAATATATTTTAAAATATAAATCAAAAGTAATTTAACTCTGAAGAACAATAATGTTAAATATTTTGAAACTAGAGTAATAAAAATATATATATATCAAACGTTGAAATTGACAAGATATATATATTTTGAATAGTTAAATCCGTAGTGGTTTCGTAATTGACTTTGTTACCAATCCTTAAAAATTAAAATGTGTTTAAATTTTGAATAATGTGAAAAGATGTTTATAAATGGAGTTGACTACTATTTAATGGTGCATCCTAGCTCATATTTTTAAATTTTTTACTCCATATTCAATATTTATAAAGTGATTAGATTAATTCAAATTTACACATTGGATAAAATACTTACTATGAAAGCAATTTCATATTCAAAATTTAACTTTGAAAATCGAAAACAAAAAAATATTTACTATTTTACATAATTTTTTATGGTGTATATATAGTTCATAGTCCATAGAACATTCTCTAACTATTATATCCACTACTTTTCATAAGTAAAGAAAAATTCTGAGGTAACATTATACATAGCCTCATTCAGTAAAAAAAAAGAAGTAACATTTAGAGATACTTATTCGTATTTCGTGTTCACGTCAAATCAATAATCCCAAGTGTGATCTTGTATGTATTTTTGGAGTATACATCACACTTGTATTAGTCAACCAAATAGTTCTTTATCTATTCAGTGTCTAGCTATGTTTGTGATATCGAACAAATTTGCAAAGTTATATAATATTAGAATACTAAAAACA